CGGCCCTTAAAGGGGAAAGGTTGCCTACCCCTGTGCTAGATGGATGGAGTTTGTTAAAGAGACCACAAATATGAGTTTGCAGGAGCTCAGTAGAGGACAGGGGCCCCCAGAAAAGTCTCATCCATAAGATCACCATGGGTTGAGATTGACCCGAAGGCAATAAACAACAACAACAACAACAACATATTGAGGATGGAACAAGCTTGTTTTCTGCTGCTCCAGAGATTAGGACCTGTCCGGAGCAATGCATGCAAACTACAGGATGAGTGATTCAATTTAAACATTAGGAAGAATTTCCTGAAGGTAAGCGCTGTTTGACACTGGAACACATTACCTCAGAGAATAGTAGAGTTTTAATTTTTTGGAAGTTTTAAAACATGATGGATGTGTCAGAGTAAAATACACTCTAAAGAGAAAATGTCATAGATGTGACTGAGGCAAAGAAACTGGGACCAAGGTGAGAGGGTTACCTTTGTACAGTTGGGAGCCATTATGACTCAACATTTGAACAGTCCTGAGTCACAGGGGGCAGATGCAACACTAGGCAGAAGGTTGAGTCAGAAAACTTAAATTCTGCAGAGTCACATCAGTCAGGTGACTGGAAACTGGGTGACAGCCAAGGAGTGGAGTGGACTAATATCCCAGAAGTGGATACTGTATATAAGTGGGTGACTGTATATAGAGATACTGGCAGAGCACTTTGTTAGCCTGTACATAGTCCGCAATGGAAGAATAAAGAACCTCTTCATGAGACAAGAAAGAGTCCAGCAGTTTTGTGTCTTGCCAACAGCTGCCTGTGTGGGAGGTTTTTTTCCTTGCAGCGTTTGCAGCCTGCATAGAACTTCACAGTGAAGTTCTTTAGTGTCTGTTCCAGCGTAAGTTTTCTGCACATGTTGAATTCAGTTCATATGTGCCCCGACACGGCCATCTACTGGGAGTGCTTTGGTTGTGTATTCCTGCATGGCAAGGGGTTGGACTGGATGGCCCTTCTGTTTTCTTCCAACTCTATGATTCCATGACTTCCACAGCCTCCTTGGCATCAATTGTAAAAGAAAGATAAAGCTGGGTATCATCAGCATATTGATGAGACCCCAACCCAAAACTCTGGATGACCTCCTACTGGTGGCTTCATGTAGGTGTTAGAAAGCACAGGGGACAGTCTTGAGCCCTGTGGAAGCACACAGCCTAATGGCCACCTTGACATACATATTACAAAATAAAGGTAATATTCACGGGGGATCTGGAATTGGAGAAATTGAAAATATCCAAGCTCTGTTGATTTAAATGGCGGTGCACGCCCATGCATGTCATTTTGTCTCTCCCTGCTTGCCATCTGTAAAGGACTGAGACTGCAGACTCCAAATCTGTGAATAGGGAGGGATGTGTGTATTTATTTCTACATTAGATGGAGGTTTCTGGCCCCTGTGAGTACAGAAACTGCCTTCACACTAAAAGGTCTCCTTTTGTTAAGTGGCATGATGCCTTTTAACACCATTTCCCTCCTGAATGATTTTGAGTGTCTTATGTCCTTTCAGTTAAATGCAAGATCACTTTGTATTCTGGTAATATAGTGTTGAACCCACATTGGAGATATTTCCCACACAAGTTCTCCGTGTCAAACCCAGAGATTCTTCTGCTGGCCCTTCAGGTTTCTCATGTTTCCCTCAAACAATGTGGACTGTAGTGGTTCAGCAGCAATCCCTGTGTCTGTGGGGTAACATAACAACCCTGTTGTAGTTGTTTATAGCTGTTCGAAGAACAGGTCTAGTTACTCCCCCCCCCCCAAAAAAACCCCTTCCTATTTATTCATATATGCAAATACTCAGTATGATCAGCTCAAGCTGGATGTATGCTTGGTTACTAAGGTCTAATCTGCACTACAAAAATAATGCCATTTGACACAGCTTTAACTGCCATTGAATTCTGGGGTTTGTAGTTCTGTGAGATTTAGCCTTCTCTGTCAGAGAACTCTGGTGTCAGAACAAATTACAAATCCTAGGATTTCATAGGATGGACCCATGGCAGTTAAAGCAGTGTCAAACTGCATTTTTCTGCAGTGCAGCTTAAACCTAAGGATATAATCCTATGCACTTTTTCATTGTGGACATTAAATTCAGTGCGGCTTACTTTTGAGTAAACCTGCACAGGGTTTCAGTGCCTGTAATAGTAACATAAGCTAGGGCTATTTATATTTGCCAGCTGTAAAAACGATTCCAGACCTTTCTTTTGAAGCTGCATACATTTTTTCCAAGAAGTAGGAGATGGAATCTCATTACAAGCTTAATATGAATACATAAAAAAGAAAAATTATTATTAAAAACATAACTCACTGTCATACGCTAGTGTCTTTAAAGATATATGTAATTCAGTTATGCATTAGTTACACATTTCAGTTTAAATTCCTGTTGTCTGCTTCTCTTCATAATGGAGTATCAACCCCCCCCCTTTAATGTACATAATCAACTTCTTATTGTAAGGAACAGCATTCAGTTTAAGGAATAGCTCTGACTACTGAAATTCATTTTGTATTTGGCCATTATTGTAATTGGGAAATAGATTTCATGTTGCATGTCATGTGAAGTACAAGTCTATCTGCACTTTGACAACAGTGCTATTATTTCAACATGTTTACAGCATTTACAAAAAATAATCTCATGTCATGAGAAGTGACATGAAGGGATCTGTAAAATTCAGAACATAATAGCAACAATGTAATATACACAAATCCAGACAAACTGAGGGGGATAAATGCTGGCCTACTCTGTTCCCTGACCATTAATAATAGAAATGGAAAATGGGAGAGAGCCAATGTGGTGTGTGCGCCAGTGTGGTGTAGTGGTTTGAAGGTTGGGCTATGTCTCCGGAGACCAGGGTTCAAATCCCAGCTTGGCCAAGAAAACCCACTGGGTGACTCTGGAAAGCCACACTCTCTCAGCCTCAGAGGATAGCAATGGCATGGAGAAAGTGAATGGGCAAGCCCCCTCTGAAGAAACTTGTCAAGAAAACCCTGTGATAGGTTCGCCTTAGGGTTGCCATAAGTTGGAAATGACTTGAAGGCACACAACAACAACATCAACATGTGTAGTGGTTTGAGTGTTGGACTAGGACTCCAGAAGAACAGGGTTCAAATCCCAGCTTAGGCATGGAAACCCACTAGTTGCAAGACTGAAAACTGGTGTTTCTTGTCATACAACCAGGCAACAAGCAACACCTGCTGAAATTCCCTCTTCTACACAGCCATTAAAGGGACAGGAACCCTCTCTAGTTTTCATTCACTTTCCCCATGAAAACTGGAACATGTATAGACAAGCAACATCACAGTATGATCATGATGGCAAAAAGTTATTAATAAGGAAGAACACAAGCTATGGGAGACCGCTGCAGTCTGCTTTTGCCTGAGACAACCGGGAAGGGCAAGATTCTATCCCCTCCTCTTCTTTCTCCATTTAGTGCAAACTACTTTTGAACTTTGAATTGAGTTTGCAGCAACTGAAATAAGGTGAGGACAAAGTGAGAAAGTAGGAAGAGAGGAGAGAAAAACTGGGACATTTTGAAAGTAGCTGAAAAGTTGAAATGACAAAATTAATCAGGGCTGTTCCTACCAAATCGGGACAGTTGCAGGATAGGACACAGTACAGGAAAGGTTCAAAGGGGTAAGAACAAATGGGGGTGCAATTTCTGCGCTTCTTGAAACAAGCAACATGTCATTACAAGTCCGCCACCTGTTCCTTTTGAATACTGAATATAGTGGTCCCATGTCTGTCATCTGCTGGCAAGCAAACAGGCCCCTCCAGACAAAGTTACTTAGGAGAAAGCCTTCGACTTCACATTACTTAGGAGACTTGCTAGATATGCAGAAAAAGACTACAGTTTGTAAATTAGAAGAAAAGAACCCTGTGTAACAGCTTGATGACTAAGCATGCTAAATACAGTACTTGCCAAAAGTTTAAAGTGTTGAGAGTGTCAAATTAAAGACATAGGAGGGGGAGAAAACAGGGGATACAGCAGTGGTTCTGGTCAAGCCCTTTAACAATTTATGGTATCCTGGAAGTTAAGGCATGTATCCTTCTGTCCTAATGTTTCTTCCTCTATGATCCCATAAACTTTCCAGGCTCTTGCTACTGAAGCTAAGAGGCCTTGGACTGGTGGAAAGATCCTCTATTTGTAATCAATTATTCTGTCCCGTCCTGGACTAGGGAGACTCATGGTACTAGTTTATGCACATATACTCAGAAGTAAATCTCACTGTGTTTTGTAGATTTGCTCTACAGATTTCTTGGGACTGCAGCATTACTTTTAATCTTCAGTCAGGTGTGACTCTCTTTGGATGTGGCAAGGCTTATATCTGGAGATCTGGGATGTCTAAATATTATTCTTTTCAACCTGCTTGGTTCCTACTCCAGTTAATTTGTTATATCACTCATTGAATAACTTCCAGAGGCAATGGTTAAGAACTGAGTCAGATACTGCCGATTATTCTGATGTCTATGAGAAGCAAGCCTGTTTTCTGATAACGCTATGCTGTAAGGCAAAAAAAAGCACTTATTACGTGTGGAGTAGCAATAGCAATAGCAGCTTCATTTATATACCACTTCATACCCACCTTGCCACTGGACCTGAGGTCTCTCAATTTTGACAGCAGTGCATGGAACTCACAACTGTGAACAAGTAGGCTTTTGGAATGATTTCTTCCCCAACTTTCTGCCTCCTAAATGTACAAGGCAGATTGCAAGAAGTAAAAATGTTAACATTTAAAAACAAATCAATAACAACTTTAAAATCAGCTTTTCAATTTGTACATTTACAAAGAAGTCCCACCAAAAGTAAAACAAGTAGAATTAGAATTATCCTGCCAAAGGTAGTTAAAGTAAAATGGTATTCTTGTTTCTGAGAAAAGCAGACTTTCTCCTTCTCACTCAACAACATTCTTCATTCAACAAAAAAGTTTGCAGGTACTAATTATTAGAGCTTTATAGAAAGAGCAGAGGATGGTGAATAAAATTATAAATAATTATAATTAAGCCAAGCAGAAAAGTTTGAAGAGGATAGAGCAAAATAGTGTAGGGGTTTGAGCACTGCACTACAATTCTGGAAATCAGGGTGACCTTGACTAAGGGACTTTACAGACTGCCAAAAATAGTGCAAATTGAGCCCACTTTAAATGTCCTGGCTCAGTGCTAGGGAATCATGGGAAATGTATTTTTTTCTGGAACATTGAACCTTCTTTGCCAGAGAGCTCTGGTGCCACAATAAACTGCAGTCCCCATGATTCCTTAGCACTGAGCCAGGACAGTTAAAGTGGCCTCAAGCTGCATTATTTCTGGCAGTCTGTAAAGGCCCTAAGGTCCAAAACACACTGCAAAAATAATCCAGTTTGAGGCCACTTTAACTACCTGACCTCAATGCTAGGGAATTCTGGGAGACATTTAGCCTTTACTGTCAGAGAGCTCTGGTGCCACAATAAACTGCAGTTCCTAGGATTCCCTAGCACTGAGCCAGGGTAGTTAAAATAGTCTCAAACTGGATTATTTCTGCAGTGTGTTTTGGACCTGAGCCATACACTCTCAGCTCCAGAAACCCCCATATAGGTTCATCGCCATAAACCGGAAATTATTTGAAGGCACAGAACAACAACACTGATGGTAGTGAAAAGGACGGATTTGGTGGCTTAAGAAAACAAAACAAACACTTTTTCATGTACATGGGTGTGCCCTAAATGCTAAGAGTGTATTAGATAATTCTTAGAAAAGCACAGATAATGCAACAAGTCCAGAGGGATTATTATGTTTGTGTGTCACAAGCAATCTTACCTGTGATTTGTGGCAATATTTTGCAGATCATATTTGTGAAGTGTTGTCTTCATGGTGTGTGCGCACATTCTCTTTGTTAATATTTTTTCTGTACATATTGGTGTGCATGCATGCATCCTCTCTTTAAACCAGTCAGTATAGAAAAAAAAAATACAGTTAACAAAGAGGCTGAATGGCCATGAATAGGTGCCATCTGTACCAATTCTGTTTATTGCTGAAATGTATAGAGGATGAACGCAATGATCATTCATAGCTGTAGGAGTAATTGGTGCTAACAGAATCATGTTTGCTTTGGGATGTTCAATTAACACCTGTATTAGGACAGGAAAGCACTGTCCCATTTCGTGCCTGAAAGAACAAAAATCAAAATTTTGATAATAGATAATGTATGTGCACTCAGAAACAGATGTATTCTATTGAGTAGCAGAAATACTTTGCTTTCATTGTGAGCAGATGCTTCTGTTTGGAACATAAGAGCATACTGTTTAGCATCCATGTGTAGCCATTAGGAGAGATTGTTTAGTTTAGACTGAAAGACTATGCTACACCTCTCTTCTGGAAGCCTTCTTTGATAGGACTGGGAATAAGGGCCTTAATAGTAATTTTCTGTAAAGCCCTCCCCAGCTTTTATGTGATTTACTATTGACAGGCATTTAATTAGAAAAAAAAAGTTGTAAGAATGACATACTTTTTGTGGGATGGGCTTTTTTTTTTTTTTTTTGGCAATACTGGATTTTCATGGAAGTATGTTAACATATGATACTAATGACATCTTATGTAGAATTCAGAGACATGGCTTTGTTAGTCTTGCTAGTCCTCCTCGAGTTCTTGGCTTGTTTGCTGCTTGGTTTAAATACCTTATGTGATTTCTAAGATTTTTGTAGATTTTATTGATGTTCAGGTTAATACTTTTTTAATGGGGAGGGTGGGTTGTGGGGTTTTAGCTTGTAACTTGATGTACTTGTTTTAACAGAGGGGTGGGGTATAAATGAATTTTATTATTATTATTATTATTATGAATGTCAGCACGCAAAGTGATTTTGCAGCACTTTTGAGACTTAGGGGGGTTGCAGACTGCCAGAAATAGTGCAAATTGAGTCCACTTTAAGGGTTAGGGAATGATGGGAACTGTATTTTATTGTGGCACCAGAGCTGACAGAGAATGCTCAATGTCTCAGAAAAAAAACAAAACACCAATTCCCATGATTCCCTGGCACTAACCCTAACCCTAAAAGTGGACTCAATTTGCACTATTTCTGGCAGTCTACAACTCCCCTTAGCTTCCTCAGGTGCATTTCTGTTTCCTATATATGCCTTATCCACATTGCCTGAAAGTAATTTTATATACAACATTATTGATATTTTTTTTAAATTTGCATTTTTATTTATTTATTTATTTATTTTTGCATTTTGCGCTTTTTTCTTTTTTTTTTCTTTTTTTTTTTTTGCATTCCTCCTGGACAGCAGAAAGAAGGCTGAAATGTAGGACGGAAAAGTGTCCTGGGAAAAGGAAGAGGAGAAGGAGGAGGAAGAAGTCCACCTTTGGGGGCACACCCTTGTGCTCATCTTGCCTCCGGTGTTTCCAAAGTGCCTTTTTCTTTTTTTCTTTCTTGCATTGCATTGCATTGCATTGTCTTGCATTTCTGCATCTGCGGTGCCGGTGCCCGGTGCCCCGTGGCGCGTGGGCGTGGCGCGTGGGGAGAGCGCGCGGGCGCCAGACCCCCTGGAGCCCTCCTCCTCCTCCTCCTCCCCTCGGTGTCAGAGAAGGGGGCGGAGGGAGGGAGGGAAGGAGCGAAGCCCCCAGGGCCGCTGCCGGGCATGCGCGGCACCCCAGGAACATGGCGGAGGAAGAGGAGGAGGCGGCGGCGGCGGCGGCGGCGGCGGCGTGAATGACAGACAGATAACTGACTGACTGCTCCCTTTTGGGTGAGGATGAGGGCCGAAGGGGCCCGGGAAGGCTATGCTCCCTTGGCCCAGGAGAGGAAGAAGGAGGAGGAGGAGGAGGAGGAGGAGGAGGCAAGGCTGGAGCCACCAT